GATCACTGACGGATTTTGATGAAACTACACGGTAACTTATGCATCAGAATAACGCATAGACTAGAATTTTTATTGAAATTTAACGCAAGTGAAACCGCGGGCACAGCTATAATCTATTCGTGTAAAGTCGGTTGAAAACGTAAGTACTTAGTTTAACTACGAAATCCTATAGACGTTTATCCTAGCATTTTCCGTACACGGACGGCAAATACTGATAACGTATTCACCAAGTTGTGAATGACCTTGAGTCCTCGAGTTCTCTCTATATTTAACACGTATGCAATTTAGTCCAAAAATAAATACATAACACTGTCCCGACCTCAAAATGGGATTTCTTTTGCGAAGGTCTTTGTCGCCTGTTTTAGTATTATTAGCATTACTGAATTCTGTTGACGAAGTCGTCCGCGTGTTTGACTGGGAAGAAACGTAACCTATGTCAATCTTTCTCTGAAATATTGATTATATTTTTTCAAATAAATACTTATGCAATAATACACTAGCGGTCTTTGTCTGAAATGCTGAATGTATTTTATAAATACTTATGAAAAAATGCACTCACTTGCACTAAACCAATACGCTGGTTGGGAACTAGTGTAGGATGATAAGATGAGCATCGAGTGAGGTCAGTTAGCCCAACGTGAAAAATCACCAGGAATTTACCACGATGCTTTTAAGAAGGGCGTGGTGGACCTGAGATAGTGTATTGGCAGAATATAGCACCACAAGTCCACATTACTAGCAAGTCCAAGAAGGAAAATGTTAATAATGAAGAATGTGACGCATCATGTCAGGCTGACCTCACGTAGTCCCCCTGGTAACCATCGTTATGAAGTGCTGGTAAATTTGTCACGATGAGATAATTGACCTGACCTCATCGCATCTTATCATCCTCTATTGGAGCACCATACAATATAACCAATTAAAAAAAAATCCTCCCTTCACAAAATATACCTTAAAGAAGTATTTAAACACAAGAAAGTACTTGCATACTGTTTTCATATCTTTAAAATCTTATCAAGCTTGTTGCTATGGGAATAACAAGTATATGTATAAATTTAATATATTTTTATTACGAAACGCAATGTTAATACATGTATACAGAATGGTTTGATAAGTCTATCATAATTCTAGTGATAAGTCGGTTAGTGATAAGCGTAATCATTGCATTTTACCCTGATAGATGCCTCTGAAAGATCTTTATCCACGGTGGGTGTGGCTACAGGATCTCTCTTGGAGTTTTTATGGTACCACATTGACTGTTTATGTGTGTCGGCGTAACTTATAGACAAAGAACCTACTCATTGTTTTTTGTTTTCTTGTAATTATTACAGATTAGACATAACTTGCCATGTTGTTATATTATTACCAATATTATTCTTTACCTTTACGATTGTTAGAATATTTGCTAAATAAAATTGTAGGGTGTACGGCAATGAATGTTAAAATATATGATAAAGTATAGAAATACTCGAAAATTGTTGTTTTGATTTTTTTTATTTTATTAAACTTATTTAAATAGTAAACATTAAATAACCGCAATATTTAAAACTGTAAGTAAATTAGCAAAGACGTAAAATAACAAATAATAAGATTGTTAAATGTATGTGTCAAGTAACTACATTGATTCGAAATTATTAGTTTTGGATTAGGTTCATTTTGAAATGAAATTCACTTCTACTCGTATTTTACCATAATTGGGCGAGTTCTAAATGTCACTGGCACGGGAATGTGTTTTTTTTTACATCGATGGTTACGGAAACAACGTCCATTGCACGAGTTTGACTCGCACTTGACTGTTTTTTTTTTTTACTTTTGGCTAGCCCTCTGGAGCTTGTCACGGTGAGGTTTTTGTATATGATCGTTGTCCACGGTCCATATTATTTTATGGATAGTTCACTGCTTCTTGGAAGAAATACTTTTTTGTTACACAAAAAACTCGGATAAAAAAGTAAATTGGTTACAAAAAAAGGACTTCCGCAGGAGAGCGTTTCTACAAGGTGTAACAGAAATGAAATACACGAGGAGCATTTACAAAATTATACAGTTTTCCCCAAGGAAGGTCGTAGGATGGACTACAAAAGAATTTAATATTTTTGTCCACATTAAGATGATTTTAATCTTGACCAAATTAAAATAGAGTCAAGGCGACGATATTTCAATAAAAAAAAACGAATATGCATAATCAAATTAGAATGGGAACACCACGAGGCAGTTGTAATTATAAATATGATTTGTTAATATTGAAAATATCACTAAACTAAATTTAACACATGAAAAAATAGGTCAAATTGAGATCGTAGTAATAAAATTAATATTGTGTAATTTAGTTCATATGATTGATTTTATTCATTAGGCAGAAAAAATAAAATATAATTCACTGAATTTCTTGAGTTCCTACACAATATTTATGTCGAGGATGCGTACAGATAATATTTTTGTGCAGCTAAATAACAGATGAACCAAAAAAATGTAATTATTCTTTCAATGTCTTCTATAACATTACGAGAAGTATTTGAGTAGTCTAATTCTCTTTTTAATAAAAAACGTCTAATAAATCAAATCTATTTTAGCTATTGTGTTGATTTTTTCTTTCAAGCTATTCTCTTCATTAAAAAGAAAGTGACAAAACATGTTTCTATGAATAAGGCCGTTAATATTGTATTATATTGTAGGCTATTTTCCGCACTAACAACTGAGTAAAAAATCGGCTACCAATATTTTGAATTTACATTAAATAGGTCTATTTTAGAAACTAATTCCAATCTCATAATATTGGATTGTTGTTTTGCACATTTTTATGTTATTCAATTTTAAACGTATTAATTTTATATTTTGTGGGTCATTAACCACAAAATATAAAATTAATACGGTATATCAATTATATATAATTGATATATCCTCATTTTATTTGATTTAGTTTGAAATAAGATTCAAAAGATAGTATAAAACTGGATTTGATTGAGATCGATGTGGAGATGAAACTCCAGAGTGAATCTGGCTTGAAACTCATGACCACTCTTCCGGTACTATTAATTCGATACAATAAATTCAGTGGCAATTCTCTTGTACCCATTAAATATATGAAAATTATTATAAACGAACCCTCACTGTATCGTGTGCAATTTAAGCATTGGGTTTGATTGCTTGCCAACATAAGTCGCGTCCGTAGCGTTTACAGGAGAGTTGTCAAACACAATAGACTCGCAGACTGGTCGGTCTATACAACATAAGTACCTTTAGATGTAATAAATATTACGTAATCTATTATTGCTTTAAAAATAATGATAATAATATACCTTAGACTGTTATCCCTAGTTGTGGTAGTCAAAGCTATTGTTAACTGTACCTACATGTTGTGGTGAAGGTAAAAATTGACATGCCTATATTTCGCTTGGTGTATCTGAATCCATGTGGCAAATAGCGATTCTCTCGCGCCGTGGAGAGTCAGCGAGAAATATGAAAAACTAACTTTACTAATATTATATTAATTAAATTTCTGTACCTAATGGATAAACCCAAAAATACTCAAACGAATTTAACAGTTCTTTCATTTATCAACTAGTAACATGGGATATATTTCACATGGGATGTAACTAGTATTGAATAATAATATAAACTCAATAATACTCTAGACTTTAGCGTCTGTGGAGTAGGAGCCTGTCAGTTATTTTTATCGCGTTACGACTAGTGCTGGATTAAGCCAGCGCGAGGCCTGTAGCAAATTCTTTTAGTGCGCAATGGTTTGGGTTCGTAGACTGATTTTTAAGTTTGAGTTAAGAAAAATCAACACACAAACTACTAACCATTTATATGGTTTAGACTTTGTCTTTTTTTAGTGTTTCTATTTGTTCTATTATGTTCAGAGAGTAGTGAGTGTGCTGGATCCCTTATTGTTCGTGGAGTTTTTTTAGCATTCGCTAGTATTGCTACTGTACTAATACGGCACTGATTATCACGGACTTGGTGTTCATCGAAGTGTACCGTCTGTTTGTGTCACATTCTGTTTAACCAAAAGTAATTTTGTGGCTTCCTCCATCGATTACACATTTCTATTGACGGCCACGGGGGCGACAGTGTAATGTTTGGTAATTGAATGAGTTTCGGAGGTTGTGATGGGCTGCAAATTAAATTGGGGTAGTTTTGCATTGTGCTCAGGCCGTAGTGTTTGTTCAGGGTGGCGGGTTTCTAGAAAATTGTCTAAGTTCGCACTTACCTCTTGTTAACAAGAAACGCTATTATTGAAATTTTGTAATTTAATATAGTTATCACACTTGTGAATGGTTCAAGTAGTAGGTAATTAAATTGCTCTACGAGAGACCGACTATATTGTTGAAATAAATTCTACACAATACTAAGTTCAGTCCGCGATGTCATCCGTATGTCCAGGATAGGATAAAAAAATTTTGACATAAAAATTATAACATAATAACGTATTATATAACAAAGTTATTTTCATATTAATAATATAATTTATAATTAGGATCATTGATTGTAAACTCTCTGACTAAAAACTCAAAGATTCTTATGGACATGCTACAACATTTCATCTCAAAATTACTCTGTCGAGATTTTCTCGAGATACTACAGCGTGGGGTTTTTATTAAGGTTTCTTAAGTCAATCCGCACGTGACCCCGCACCCTTTGTGATTCTGGTGTCCCTAGGCTACGGTAATTATTTAGATCAGATGGGCCGTATGCTTGTTGCCACCATAGTAGTATAAAACAAACTTAGTGCTAGGAGGTTTCAAATCAACATTCTTTTTATGTGTATGTTATCCGGGTTTTAATTTTTTTTTTCATATTTATAAAAGTTACTACCGTTATTACAACGTTATTTTTATACGTATGTTACAGAGAATATCCGAAAATCAATACTATATTAAAATATCACTTTTTTTACATCATATTAATCAAATCCTTTTTCAGTTGGGAAGTTAACAATTGTTTTTGTAAGAGTTGTTTTTATAATTAATTAATACTCTATTTTATTTTGTTTCTAGGTCGAGAAGTTTGCGTTTGAGGACCACACCCCACCGAATATAGAGCTAATTCAGCCCTTCTGCGAGAGCGTCCACAAATGGCTCAGCGCGGACCCTAAGAATGTGGCCGCCGTGCACTGTAAAGCAGGGAAAGGGCGGACAGGTAAGGGTACTTTTATACGTCTTTTACCACAGCAAGACTTTGTACAATGTTTTTTTTAATTGAGGGTTTTGAGCTATTCTCAGGTGCTTTAGACCTCTAGCACTGCGACCTACAGAGATCTTATTGTGCTCGCTCTTTTTTAAAGTTAACTACCTAGAACCGTTATGGATAAGAATCGAAGGATATTCCTAGGAGCGACGATTTTTATCACCTCAGGATAGTGTACCTACCACTCCATCCTGAGGTGATAAAAATCCCCGTCTGTTACAAAGTTACATACGTGGATACCTCTGTCTCATAATTCTAAACGGAGTTGAATGATGAAATTTTGAAATTATATTTCATTTCTTTGTCATTTACAAAATCTAGTGTACGGGATCACTATATAGATTTAGAAATATAAATATAAATAATAGGTATAACAGGCGTCGTAGTACATTCTACGACATCAATGATACCTTCTAAAGCATTGCAATTCCAGAGAACTATAACGTAATTTTTTGTTACTCTCTAATTTTACTGTCGTAGAATATAAGTGAGACAGATGTAATGTATGTTTCGAATACATTACATATGTATCTCATATACGAATCTGTATCTCATATCTCGTATACGAATATTTATTTCTCTCAGAAGAATAGGTTCGTTTTCTATAGTTTAGTTTATTTTCTCTGAAATTAAAATGTGTCTTGTTTTCATAAATGTTTAAAGAATTATGTAATTATATTTTTTTTAATTAGGATTCTTTAAGTAAGTGGTAAGACAACGGAACTTTTCCAGTTTTCGAATCTAATTCTACTTACATTTTTTTATTCATTTGTTATTACTATTACTTATAGAATGGGTTATCTCTCACAATTTTTTAAAATTATGTTCATATATGTCTGTATTCTTCAGATTATTTTATTACATCTCTCTGAAAAAAATATCTTTGGATTTAGGACAATTCTTCTGACATCATTAGATTTGGTGGCCATTATTTAATGTGCATTTGAAATTTATTTTATATATATAGGTAAACATTAAAGACTACGGACAGTCAAGATAAACTATCCGCGTGTCAGTGATAAAATAAGTCCAAATATTCAAAATTCCATATAAATATTTGCCGTGGTTCCGAGGGCATCGTAAAGGACATTTTACCCTCGCATTTTTTAATACGTATAAATCCTTTGATGCGCCCACAGAAAAGATCAATGCCGTCATTCTCTGTAGTTTCTATAGTATTTACCAACTTTTAGGGTTGCCACCTTACGATTACACACCTTACGTATACGATTTAATTGGGATTTTTAGGGTAATTGATATGGCAGACATAACCCATAGTCCACTTGGTGGTAAATGGCAACCGTCACCAATATACATGTACAGCATCACGGATATGACGTCATCAAGTGACGCCCGTGCCACCACACATCCGTTGCCATTCAGAACGACTAAGATGCTAATGGAATGAACAAGGTGTAATTTCACAGCGTTATCATATAATTCAACTGAAACTTGGTTAGTAGGGGTTTAGAAACAGAATGTCCCGATTTCAGTAACTTATTAAAGTAGTATAAAAAAAGTTTGTAAGCGTTTGAATTTTTAGTGGCCTATCTTATTATCTAATTATTGAAGTATTAGTCCCAAAAAAAATTATTAACAGAGTTGGCCATCCTACCAACATTACACGCTTGTCTTTTATGTACATATGCTGCCATTGTCGTGAGCAAAGAATACCCCTATTGAAATAGAATAAAAAAATGAATAAATTATTACGTATCAATTTCGTTACAGAGATAATAAAATTTAGTTAGCATAATCGCGCGGTAGCTCGGCAACAAAGGTTAAGGTTCCAAATTACGTGGAGCGTTATTGGCGTTATTGCCTATAGAAATCGAGTGCAAACAAAAAAGCGCCCAATCCCCAATGTCGTAATTGCGAAATTTCCTCACAACACATAATTGGTCGAATTACTGTCGCGCCGCTTTCACGCAAAAGTCGTAAATTTCAAAGAGGGACCCTTCGCAACGGTCGCTTTTTTGTGTTTCTCCCAATAAAAGACGTAAGGCTGTATAGAAGTGCATGTTTAGTGCTGCAAGCTGGATCATTAGACCCCAAATTTCATAATAGCACATTTTTTATAATGAGCTCTTTCATACTTGCCTAAATTTCGTATGAAAGCTTATGGCATACAGGGTTACCAACTTTAAAATACTTATATTATATCAATCTGGCTTTCTACGTCGTATCTCTGACCTGTATGAGGATCCTGGTGCATCTTTAGTCTCTTATGTACCTTTGTAATACGTGGCAGTAAAGTGTATACATAATCCAAATTACATTGCACTAATAGTATGACCTTTGTAAAATAACATCAAATTATCTATTTACAGATGACAAAATAATTCTGACTTTATTTAGTAATACTATAGAAACTATATTTGCTATTATATATTTACCAGATTTCCGGAGACACTGATGTTTTTCGGTACTATTCCACAACTTTTTTATTTATTTGACACTGTTGCCAAGTAACTTTTACAAGACGACTCTAACGATAGGAAACCCAATTAAAATCTTCACTAGCCCCACTTTGCGCTTAATACCTTTACTTTCTTCGCCAATTGGGTAAATATAACATAGGAAATATATTTACTCAACTTGTTATTACATACTGTGCTAATTAAATGGATTATGATTAGCATTTTTAAATTTGATCATCAGAATTTGACAGATTTAAAAATACTTTTTTGATTTACATTTAACTAGCTAATCGCCCCGGCTTCGCACGGGTGTACATGTATTATATATATAAATCATCCTCTGGAATCACTCTATCAATTAAAGTTCCGTTGACCGCTTCAAAATCCGTTGCATAGTTTTAAAGATTTATGCATACATAGGGACGGACAGCGACAGCGACTTTGTTTTATACTGTCTTAATTTTATCCGCGGCTTTGCTTGCCTTGTGTTATCAACTTATCACTTATTTAGAATATATGTTATATTATATACATAACTAGACTTTCTCTTAACGAATCCTTATTTTAAAATATAAAATAATGTAGCCCCAATTAGTAGTATTAATTTGACCACTTCGGTGGTCTTCTGGTTTAGCACACCGCTGTACTTTCGATGGTCATGGGTTCGATTCATCGTACGGTGTAAAATTTATATGATTGTTTGTATCGGTCTGGATTTTGCATGTATATTATGTATGTGCCATATATACATAAAAAATGTATCGAAGTATTTAGAACAGTAGTCTAGTACCCATAACACAAGCTCTGCTTAGCTTGGGGCTAGTTTGCGCTGTGTAAATTTTTATCGTTATTATTATTATTAATTTTAGCTTTTTAGACTTTGTAGTTGTAGCTGTATATTGATAGACAAGTTAAAAGATTTTATTTAGTTCTAAAACGTCGCATTTTAGAACTAAATAAAATCGTTTATCGTCGTATCGTTATCGTATTATCATCGTTTTAAAAAATTAAATGAAGCCTAATTCTCTTAGCATTCATCCTCTCTACATTATCTATATTTATGACAAATTTAGTTACAATTCGTTAAGTCGTTTAATCGAGAAATAGTAACAAACAGACAGACATACGGACAGACTTTCACAATTATATGTACATCGATTTATCAATATCATCGATCAAGATAGCCGCACCACAGATAACATAATATTACATACAGATACCCCATCCCATACAAGAAAATGGTTCCTTCCTAACTCGGGCTATTCTTCGGGCTATTTTATTTCGCCACCGTAGCCGCTAGATGTCGCTAGATCTGAAGCAGTTCGGATTACTAGTGGGTGCTTAGTAACAAAGCATGAAAATAGATGGCAGTGAATTCAGTCTACATGACATCTGTTTTGCAAAGATATGTATATAATAGATATGTAGGTAACTGTATCGTGTACCTCATTAGGGACGATTCAAGATTCAATGTAAATGTGTAGGTATAATATCGTTAGCCGACACTCTGCAGATATGGCTTATGTGCCAATGTACATACCTATTGTGTTATGGTTTATTTTACATTCCATGCCTATTTTTTTGATATGTTGTAACGCGTCTGCGCTATACGTATAGCCTGATTTTGATACGTTTATACTCGTACGTATCAAAATCGGGCTATACGATTTTTTATTTCAATCGTTATATGTATGAGACTGATTTTAGCTACAATTAATTTACTGGTATATACCTCATGTATTCTACGATGTACCCCTCTTTTACCTAATGAAATTCCGCTATATCTTATATATAAATTTTGTATCACAGTGTTAGTTGCCATATTTCTCCCACATTTTGATGAAATTTGATATGTATACTTCCCAGGTCTGAGGTAGGGTTGTTATCTATTTTTTATACCCCTAAGTCATAGGGGTGGCCTACCCCGAAAAAATATTTTTTTGTATTATGGACAATTTTTTATTTATTTATAATGTTACATTGAAAATACATACACGCCTAAATTTTCACCCGTCTTTCACCAACCCCTATTTTTAATAGCGATATTCTTACAAATATTATAAATGCTAAAGTAACTCAGTCTGTCTGTTTGTCTCGCTTTCACGCCAAAACTACTGAACTGATTTAATTGAAATTTGGTAGACAGATAATGTAGACCCTGAGAAAGGCTACTTTTTAATGCGAAAAAGTATTGAAAGGGGAAATGAAAGGCTATATGAGGATATCGTAATTTTTAAAGTCAGATCTTGTAAGATTAAGTGAACAGGGTCGGTCTAGGTTTTTCATTATTAGAAATGTGTAACGGGGTAACACGTTATTTAGTGCGAAATTGTGTATATTACAATAAAATTTAACGAGAAAATATTATAATGATATCACTGGGACACTCATTGCCTTACTACTATATCGTCCGTTACACGAGAGGCGCTATCCTATTGGTCGGTCGGCGCGGTTACCGCGCGCGTAGATGAGTAGATGAAGTACTTAGACGAGTCTCACGGCGCCGCAGCGTAAGTACTTACTATACATACGTAGTATACATATGGGTATTACAAATGTTTTTATTACTAGTAATATTACTCTGTTATCTAAGCAAGTAATGTGTGCTTATTTTGAACTTGATAACATTCTGAATTACTCGTATATCTTTCAATATCTTTAGCGGTATAAACCAGGTTATGTACTACTACTAGTATTGTTAGTGAGGGATAAAGTTGATGAACAAAAATAAAACAATATTCGTATTAAAAATATATTCATCTAATATTTTTGGCATTAGTTTCTTCCAAATATAAGGGGTCTGACATGGGGTGTTATGTACCTACATTAAAAAATACTTTTTGAAATGTATGAAAGAAACGTATTGTATGAAATTTTTGAAATGTGTGAAATGTATGCACCTACATTAAAAGATAATTTTTGAAATGTATGAAAGAAATGTATTGTATGAAATTTTTGAAATGTATGAAATGTAAGGACCTACATTAAAAGATAATTTTTGACATGTATGAAATGTATGAAAGAAATGTATGTACCTACATAAAAAGTTCATTTTTGAAATGTATGAAATGTATGAAAGAAATGTATGTACCTACATTAAAATATAATTTTTGAAATGTATGAGATGTATGAAAACAATGTATGTACCTACATAAAAAGTTCATTTTTGAAATGTATGAAATAAATGTATGTACCTACATTAAAAGATATTTTTGACATGTATGAAATGTATGAAAGAAATGTATGTACCTACATTAAAAGATAATTTTTGACATGTATGAAATGTATGAAAGAAATGTTTGTACCTACATTAAAATATAATTTTTGAAATGTATGCACCGTACAATAACAATACACGTTAAACATCATACCACAGAGTCATACGCAAGTTAAAAACAAACTGCTATGATATTAATGAGAAAGGAAAATAAACTTTATGGTATTCGAGTTAGGGTCGATTTATCTCTTTTTTTTAAAACTATTTTAATCTTACCAGTTGCCAGTATTCGAAGACAGCTACGATTCGTACTCGATATTTTAAATTATTATGTAATCGATTTTTCAGTACAAATGTAAATAACCAACGACACTAATAATGTACTACTATATTCCGTTCTTTGAAACGGAATACTGCTATACTTAATACAAAATAATGAAAATTTACTGTTCACAACGACTCATTAAAAGCATCATCGAATAATGCGCTGTAATAAAATCCTGTTATCGATTATTAAAAAAATCGATAATACATGTATTTATTTTTAATATGACAACACTTCATACATAAGTATTATTGGAAATAGTATTATTTGCTTGTTCGGCTATTTTTAATTTACTTAAACTTTTTTTATATGTTTAATTTACAATAATAATATATTAAGTGCTTATTATTGGAAAATATAAAAAAGACATTTAATTAGGCCGATACAAATGACAACAATGCCATCTATGAAAGCATTTTGAAAACATTGAGCCCCGTATTAGCACTGATTAAAGTGTAATTAAGTACTGGAAAATAACAAAATGAGTAAATATATGAAAATTACTTTTCTAAACGCATTATTTCATTTTAACATGTATATATATTTTTTTAAAAATGGATTAAACTATTTTGAAAACACAGTTTTGTTTTTTAAAACGTTTGCAAAACTATGAAGAATTCCATCGATACCAATCACGCCATCTATATGCAACTTTTAGCAATAATAATGGCTATTTCCTCATTGAGTGCCACTGGCCGCACTGTCAGTTAGTGTACTTGATTACAAGTTGAATGGTGAAAACGCGGCTTAACAGGGTGCCAGCGAAGTGGTAGTCACCGAGGATATTAGATAAGGATGCGCGTCTTTGATCAAATTACGGATGTTGCTCGCCACCATCTTGTTTTTTTATGTTTACTCCACGAAATATCATAATTTACACAGCAGTAAGTTTTGATTTCATATATATATATATATAATCCAGGACGCCCAGCACCATCTACTCCCAAAATTAAGGCAGAGCCTGTGTCATGGGTACAAGACTATCTACTGGTCAATTTTTTTTTTGTAAATTTATACAGAATATACATAGAAAACATCCATACCGATATAAACAATCATACTCAATCGAACCTGAGACCATCGGAAGTATGACAAACCGTTACACCACTGAGGCAGAGAATATAAAAAAAATGTTAATGATTTATGACATTTGGTGAGTGATTAGTACAAGCCTTATTCAATTTTCATATAATTTCAATACGTTGATAAGTTGCATAGCAATAACTAAATTCCTCTCAGGGTCGCTATATCTCTTCACCTGAATAAATTTCTTTGTTGTCTGTCCATATTTCTGTCAAGGTCCTTTTGCACCAGAACAAAAAGAAATACATATAAAACGCAGTGATTATTTACTTTGTGTAAGAGTATTATGTTCATTGCTCATATTCGAGGCAATAAAAAAAAATCAGTCGTGATAAGAGGGTACCGTTTTGTACACAATTATATAAACGGTATATTTACCGTGATTATTTTACTATTTATGAGTTGTATTATAAATATCCATTTACATAATGTGCAAAATTGTAAATAACCGTTAAAAAAGAGTACTATGTTGGTAGTGTCTGTTGTCTACAAAAAGAAAAATCTAAATCAGTTCAGAATTGACGATAATATTACATAACCCATTAAAGTACAATTAGGTTTTTTTTAATTTGTCAATTTGCGTTTATAAAATTACTAGGTTTCTTTTAACATTCAAAACCTTTCGAGGTATGAGAGAATAGCCCCCGATTTTTATATTATTAACTCCAAATGTTGATGATGTAAATATGCATATATCTTTACTAATGTTATAAATGTAAAAGTAGGGATGTTTGTTACGCTTTCACGCAAAAGCTACTGAACTGATCATGATGAAATTTTGTACACATGTTCTTCGAAGTATTAGAATGAACATAGGATACTTTTTATTAAAAATAAAACAATATTTTTTATAAAAAATAAAATATCAACGTCTTGCTACTTCAGCGCCATCTAGCAGCAATTAATAAAGTTATTTAATGGATTCAATGCGAGCGAAGCCGCGTGTAAAAGCTAGTATTTATATATATTTCTTTTATTTCATATTTCAGGTACAATGGTGTGCTGTTACTTACTGTACAGCGGGCAGAAGGCGACAGCAGATGAGGCACTGCAGTTTTATGGAACTAAGAGGACACACGACGAGAAAGGTAAAATGGCGGGAAATCATAGAGGGCAAAGTTTATGTTTTCTATTAACTAAATTTATAGTAAGAAATTAATTAAAGAAAAAAAATACGGTCATGATTTCAAAAGCTTATTACCTATGAACCTTCATTTATAAGAAGGATTTAAATACAAATTACATGCATTTTTTATTATGCTACACAACCACGGCCAATATCGACACCTTTTTACGTGATTAAAAAATTAAAGAGACTTTTTGTTCCAAATAGTATACTTGGAATATTTTTTAATTGTTTTTATACACTTGCAAGGAATGACGACCTACCTGACAGTGGTGATAGTGAGTCAGAGGGCTGAGGATTTTCACACATATTTGATTCATCTAATTTCACAATATTGTATTTCATTAAATTTTAGTTTATATATAGAGTGTTTTATCGCAGACATATTTAATAATACTGTCATATAGTCAGCTGCATTAAAAGTCCAAGAAATATAATTGAGTTCGCCACTTCAAATCAATAGTCCATTGATTTCTTTATCCTTTATGCACGTCTGTTATTATATTTTCAATAACACGTTGCTATGCGGGAACGCGGGGTGCTTTACGTGCTTACTCTTTATAAATACGCTCTAATCCGTTTCACATTTCATTCATCAAGAAACATGTTTGTAACTATCTCAGAATTAAAAATATACCTTTGCATCTATTTGTTATATGTACACTTATTCTTATGTATAATTATATACTATATAATGGTATATCCACACGTATATGTTAGTGTTTACTATGTACAACAGTGTTTACATATAAAAATGTAGAAAATACATGCACCTATATATGTATTTCGATCTGTTTAAAATTGAGTTCTCGAATAAAATTGCTCGGTCATTTTATTACACTGACTGCTCATCCCTTTAAACGAAACACAACTTACAAAAAAGTTGTGTGGCGGCTGGTATAGGTAAGACTGAGTGACTCTCGCAGTCGACGTTGTATAAAGTTTTCATCAATTTCTTGCAACAAACTTGTGGTTGTTGAAGCGTCTATATTATTTTTCTTCTTAAAATTGTATAATGCACATACTTAGATCTGAAGATTCCTTTGTAAAGAAAATCACGTTTTGACACATTAGAGGTGCAATCATACGTACTGTCTATCTTATATATCCCAGTACTCCCAGTATCTAAATTTACAAAGTAGTCTAAGCAAGCTTTTTTAATAAGATATACTTAAATTTAACCAGTTTCAATAATCATACTTATGTTTTTAATCTACCGCTCATTCGGAAAGCTTATCTTTTCTTCAATCACAAGAAGAATGAGCAAGAAACTTGCTTGTTGCTCTTATAAATAACTCGACTATATTTTAGGGAACCACTAACCAGGCCCGCCATACTGTCACAAATAAAAATATAAATCTCTTGTTCAAACGTTTCAGGTGTGACAATCCCTTCACAACGACGATACGTGGAGTACTACGCCGCCCTGCTGCGTCCCGGGCTCCAGTACACAGCCACCAAGATGTACATCCGGGAGCTATCGATGTCACCGCCGCCCATGCTGAACGGCGGACAGTGTACCATCGAGCTGACCGTCACACAGGCCAAGCCGCAGATGAAGGTATTGCACTCACTAAGAGGTCGAGCGCAGTCGAGATGGTCGAGCGCAGTGATGGCTGGCTCATCCGTCATACTCGTGAACAAGTGCTGCTTGTAGGGACTGGTCTGCTCTTATCACTACGACTGATTTAATCTTATTTTACATTTGAGCCTAAATAAATTAGTGCTGGTTGGTAGTTTGTATTCACACGTTTCGACTTGTAAAATGTGAACTTACAAGGATTGTTTAAAAGAGCAACACACAAGTTTCTTGCTTATTCTTCTTGTGATGAGACAGCTTTCCGAATAAGCGGTAGATTTAAAAAATGTTGACTATTCAAAAGTGCTTAAATTAAGTTTATTTGAATAAATGATTTTCTATTCTATTCTATTCTAAGATTTAGAGTATCCATGTTGTAAACACTTTCAAATATGAATAGGATAGAATAGAAAATCATTTATTCAAATAAACTTACATTTAAGCACTTTTGAATAGTCATCGCTTTTTTTTTCTCAATCTACCGCTCATTCGGAAAGCTGTCTCATCATAAGAAGAATGAGCAAGAAACTTGCGTCTTGCACTTTAAATAATTTTATTGTTATTTTACATTTTTAAGTTGAAGTGTATGAATACAAACTATCAACTATCACTAATTTAAGTAAATACTCATTAGGAAAGAATAGGGTTGTTTTAACATTTTGTTAAGCACATTTATACATTGTGTTCTTTTTGTACTAATTTTACTAGCGCGCAATAAATGAGTTTATGTATTAATTTATTACTAGCTGACCCTAGCAACTTCATCTGCATCACACTTACTTGACATTTATTATTCTATTTATCCCAATGTATATATCTTTTAAATTTATAGCCTATATGTTACTTTGATGTATAAGCTACAATACTGTAAAGTTTCATACGCACAACGCACTTGCAATTCCCCTGGTGCTGCGGATGATCATGGGCGGCATCACTTACCATCAGTTGAGCCGCAAGCTGGTTTATCCATATGCTATGAATAATAAGTCATGTTGATGTCTCAGTCGGAATATGAATATATTATATGTTTTATTAAATATATCTATGATATCGACCGTCATTTTGTCGGTCATTGACATTAACATAAATCAGCTAGTTGCGGTAATCGCACAGTCACGTAATCATAATGTGCATGTAGATTGCACATTGTACTGAGTTAATCAATCATATATTGATTTTATCAGTCCTGAAACTGAAACGTGCTAAATTGAAATAGGCTAGTGTGCTGTTATTAATGTTTATATAATACTAGCTCACCCCGCTAACATTGTTTTGCCATATAAATTAAAATTAAAAATAGCGGTTGGTGATGAAGGGTGAACATTTAGGGTTGTATGTATTTGTTAATTATAAAAATATATATAAAAAAAGTTAAAAAAATGAAAAAAATTTTGAGGTGGACAACCCTTATCACTCAGGAATATGAAAACTAGTAACCGATTGTCAAACCTAGTGAATATGCATATAAAATTTCATAAAAGGCCGTTTCGTTATCCTTAATAATATTATAAATGTGAAAGTAGTGATATTTGTTACGCATTCACGCAAAAACTACTGAACTGTCCATTCTAATACTTTCAAGAACATCTATACAAAATTTCATGATGATCCATGAACTTTTGTACATGTGTTCTTGAAAGTATTAGATCCATTCTAATTCTTTCAAGAACATAGGAAGGTCTTTTAAATGGGTTTTTTAAAAAAACTAATATTTTTGATTCAATGCTCGTGAGTGAGATGCGGCGGGTAAAAGCTAGTTTTATATGTAGCTAGGAATCGAGTGAGAGAGTATGTGTGTATGGTTCAGGCGCCACCGGGCTCGGCGGTGTGGAGCGGGGGTGGAGTGCGGGTGCGGCTGCCGCACTGCACGCCGCTGGTGGGCGACGTGCGCGTGGACGTGTACCACAAGCCCAAGATGATGATGCGCAAGGAGCGCCTCTTCCACTTCTGGTTCAACACGTTCTTCGTGGCCGCGCAGGTCGGCGCGCACAGGGTCGACTCGCTGCCCGACAGTACGTATCGTAGTCTCACACTGATCATATTCTCTATGCCTACTTATACTAGAAGGAATTCTCATGTTTTTCATGATTTGTTTTTTATTTTTATTAAGGGTTTTTTTATTATTTTAAATATTTGAATGACGATGGAATGTTGCACCCGCCTGCGCTAATGTTATACGCTGACGGGGCCCCAGTGGAGGATGATAAGATGAGCATGAGGTCAGGTCAGTTTTCCATAGCCCATCGTGATAAATTGCATGAAACTTATCACGATGATTTCCTGCGGGAACCATAATGGAGGTGAGGTGAACCACAATGGGTTCTCCAATCCACATTACTAACAATTCCATTATTAAAATGTTTCGGCTACTTGGTGCTACAAAGCACCTATAGCACGGCGACCTACATCTATTGTGTTCTTCCATTTTTTTAGAGGTCGCATTAAAGATGACATGTTAGTCTCATCTGATCGAGTGCATCAGACCAATCTAGCACAGCACTGGTGAAAAGCCGACCCCTCGTCTACTCTGTACACATGTACCGAGAAAAAAAATTGTCAACCAGTCTAGAAGAGAGAGAAGGGTAACCCCTCATCTTCTATGAACATCTGGTCGAGTGCTAAATTAGACCAGACTAGTACACCACTGGTTTCCCATCCTTGTATACTAAAGACGTTACAATCTATAAGCAACATAGATTGTTTTTTTTTCTAAATAGGTACTTACTATTAAATGTTAAGTGTAAAAAATAGCTGAGGTATTAATAGAAATTGTTACTTAATAAAAAGATATTTTTAACATAATTAATAGTAGTTTTTTAAAAACTTTGCAAGTAGAGTTACTTCACTTGACAGCAATTTGAATTTTGTACAGTGCAGGTTACATTATATATTTATTTAATTAATGTTTATAAAATGGTATTATCCTGATTACGCTATGCTAAATTATATTATGTTAACAGTATACTTCCAAGGCATCACTGAAAGATGATAGAATAATGATGAAGTCACGTCATAACATTGTCCAATTCACTATAAATTAACCACTGTGGTTTCCAGGGTAGAGCACGTGGAGAATGACTGTGAATGACGTTTTGTCCACCTTACTAAAAAAATCCCCTCTCATAAATTTATAATTATATTAAAAATAAGTATTGTATAATACAAAATAAGTTGATGTATCTACAATATTGTCTATCTGTTCAGTTCTCCAAGGAGTCACTGCTAGAGGATATAGGATATCATAAATTTGGCCCATTTTATTGGTCAATATCATTTATATAGTAAAATAATTGTGTCGTTGTGATAATATTTCAGGTAAAAATGAAGAGACCTTCAAATTAACTTTAAATAAATGGCAGTTAGATGACGCGCATAAAGATAAACAACACAAAATATATGCGCCGGACTTCAAGGTAATTTTTTTATTTTATCCAAAACAGCTTAGTACTTGAATGGGAATATCGTATCGTGATGCTGTTCATGTATAGTGGCGATAGTTACCATTTATCATCAGCTTAGGAGGCATAAGTTTAGTGCAAACAGCTATTATATTGGTCATAGTCTTAAGCTGAGTGTTTGTAAGTACGGGAGTAGCAAGTCGGTATGAATTGATGTACAGTGTGCTGGTATTGTTGTTATTATTTATGTTGGGGTTTGCTTATTATCTGTTTTTGTTCCTACTCGTAAATAAAGTATATATATATAATAAGGTTATTTTTTTATGTTTAGTGCAACTTATTTCTAATTACATTGCGGATTAAAAGTACACACTTGTCGTAATCGTATACGTCGTAGTTATAAAAGAGTAGCAATAATTCGTTTACCTCGGTGGTCTAGTGGTTTAGTACACCAGCTTAATTTCGATGGTCGCGGGTTCGATTCCTCGCACGGTCCAAACATTTGTATTCATGAGTATGGTCGGTGTTTTTATGTATATTATGCATGTATGTACAAAACCAGTCGTTTAGTCTCTATAACACAAGCTCTGCGTAGCTCGGGACCGGGGTGTTAATTGTCCGGAGATATTATTTTTATTCCGGATGTAATGTAAGCCGCTGTTATAAATAATAAAGCGAGATCGTCCCCGGCAGGTGGAGGTGATCGTGCAGAAGCAGCCCGAGTGTTCTACGTTCAAGGCGCACGCGCCGCGCCCGCCCTCGCCCGCGCCCGACGACGAGTCCTCGTCCTCGTCGTGCTCCGAGCCCGACGCGGAGCCCGACGCCACCTGGGACTCCGGTGAGCACTTCCCCTACACGCGCCTGCTGCGCCGCCCCAGCCTCGGCCCGGACCTGCGCTGCGGCCACGCGCCCCGCGCGCCCCACGCGCCCCACGAGCCCCACGCGCCCCACGTGCCCCACGAGCCCCACGCACCCCACGAACCCCTCGCGCCCCACGCGAAGCCGCGCCTCTCGCTCGGCGACATGCGGGCCTCCTGGAGGGAGTTCAGCGGGAAATTTACAGAGCACAGAAAGAAAAAGGACACTGACGACTCGTAGTGCATTTGTACGTGTATAGGTTATAGTGCGTCGCGGTTGCACGCAGTATGTGACAGTCATTTGACTGTTATAAAGGCATTCGTTGGTTCTACTTTGAGGCCGATTGTGATGTATAGGCTAATTGACGTGTTAGAATCGAAATGAAATCGAAATTATATTAAATGGCTTTGTTGAATATATACAGAAATATAATATACTAACCTCTATGTTCATAGAAATTAAAACGAATCTATATTAGCTGTTAGAATGTTCTTTCTAGCTAAGAATTTAGCTCGAGAGTAAAAGATAGAATAGTTTAATAGCTAAACTAGATTTGTTGATCAGTTAATGTTATTTTTATGAATAGAGGCTTTAAAATTTAAAAGTTCTATAAAAGAACAAATAGAATTCAATGCATGTCATTTGCTAATTATAATTTCGACTTGATGCCGATTGTTTCGCGTTAAAATAAGCCCACTAACAGTGTAAGCACTTCGCCGGCACGCGCTACTATATTTATAAACACAGCAGTCTAAAACACAACCCGCACTTATATAATATTAACACACTTGTCCAACTACACACTATTGTTTTAACCGCATATATAGAAGCAACGAAACTGTAAATTTGTTTTGCAGTACAAGCACGTACAGTCCTTATTTTGTGGTACCTTTGTTTTGTTAGAGATTATTCTGAGCTCGCCACTTTGTACGTGTGTTATTGGAATTTAACAATAGGTTATATATTTTTTGTTTACAAACTGATTCGAATTAAACAAATGACTGCTATTCCAGCGTCAAAATCCAACGCTCTTAAGAAAATCATTCAATTCTTGTCTCTCACGGGTCTGGATAGCGAACTTTGAATAAGGGCGAGTAGATTTAAACAGGTCGCAGTGTTACAGGCACCAAAACCCTCAATAAAAAAATATCCAATCCATAGGCTACAGACAGCACTTAGTTACATTTTTATTATATGTATATATTATACATGTATATTTTATAATATTCTGTTAACTAACTCTGTGCATATATAAATATAGTAGCGCGTATCAAAATAACGTAAGAAATTATAGCGGTAATAATGTAATTATGTATAATATAAACTAAATATAGTTATAACATTAAGTGGGAATCGAGCAGTTCTTCCATATGATCTCTTAAACTGATTACGAGTTTATATTAATGCAGTAAGTAAATTAATATTTAAGGATCTATGCGTTCACGAGCCGTGTCTTTATATATTTTGAGAATGACATTTTAAATAGTGTTAAGTACTGAGTCGAAGAATAAGGATTTCGACTTGCAATATGACCTGTAAGAATTAGCCCTTAGATTGGACAGGACATTTTGTTCCTTGCTTATAAGGGATACAACTAAATTTGATGTAAAGAGAAATATAACGCTGGTTATTTTTAAAATTGTTAAATACACATTAATTGTATTGTTAGGGGCTTAACACAAAACATTTTGTGGTAAATAAGTGTAATTCTTGAAGTTTCGATTAGGTTACACTAGCCGTGGTCACGAGCTGACATGATAACAATGTAAATAATTCAATTCTAATGATCTAAATAAAAGGGTATTTGAAATATAAAGTGACAATAAATCTAGGTACCTTTTTATATGTACTATGAAATAATCTAATAGGTATGCAGATATGAGTGGGTATGTAGATACCTACCTACCTACATTTAATCATTACGTAGATATTCGTCAAAAGAATTTATCGGATTCATCTATCTGCGTATGGATTGTTACCGAACGTATGGAGAGAGACGGAAGTATCCGTCGTCTTTTTCTTTTTACATGTATGCGGCATCAATGATTCGTTAACGATAAAACTGTTTTGCGATTTGTTCAAAATGCAGCCGGATGATTTTTGAACGCGATCAGATAGAAGTAAATGTATGAATATAGTATATTTACATCAAAATATTAATAACCGACTGAATGTATCGACTGATGATACTATAACATGATGTTAACTCGATTTTCAATATGAACATCATTAATTTTTATAAAAATAAATCATACAGGCATATTCTCAAAATATTTATTAGGCATGGCTTTTAATATTCATTTGTCACGGAAATAGGTGTTGGATAAATGAAAACTTGAATAGAAAATAATAAGTTTCATTTATTTACAAAAAATGTTTGCTATTCATGTATATTACTTGAGGTGCTTATTCCTATTTCTAGTCAAGTATTCATTGACATTTTGTGGTGTGTCCGCGTCGCCGTTCGATGGAAAAAGGTCTTTATTTGTAAGTGTGTACGATTCATAATATATTTTTTATATTTTATCCAAGGACAGACAGTAAAACACGTCATTTTTACCTTTTTCTACTACACATTCTATCATCGGTACTGGGAATTGGTATATTTTTGTAATAGGAAAACAGGCGCCAAATTTAGATGTTATATTTTAGCGTGAATGGAATCTAATTTCACATTCTCGAAATATGTATAAGAACATTGAGTTATATTTATTTGTATGGGGGAAATAACATGTTTTGAGATGATTAAATTGAATTTGATTTGATAAAAAATACTGGGCTTTCATAATGTCTATAGAAAGTCGCATCGATGCCGGAATATTTTTTGCAGAATTACATAAACCCCACCGAGTTCAAACTAAAGTTAATTTGATAATATTCTATCTTCTAAATAGTTCTCGATGTAGTCATATTAATAATGAACCGACGTCAATCTGTCTCGGAACATTCAGTCCCATTTCGGTCCCCCATCACATCATCATCTCATCACAATTAGTATATATTACGGCTGAAATACATTCCTGAAATCCATTAAAAAATATTACAGACAATTATCGGAAAGTCCATGACATGATGTTCATATTTGACATTCAACTGTTTTGTCAGTCAATGATTGATTCAGTAATTTATGAGTTCAATCTCTAATTAATTAGAACTGATTTATTTTATTTCCAACAATGTGTTTTTGATATAATTAACAATTTCATTTATAAATCAAATTAAAATTTAAATACATTTGAATCGATATCGTAGTTATGGCTATAATGATGATGTCGTGAGGTTGTGACCGAGTGTGACCGAGTATGACCGCGTGTGACGTAGTGTTGTGTGCAGGGCCGGGATGCGAACGTGTCGGCCGCTACCGCCAGCTGTCGCCCGACGCGCACACGTAACTATACTACTCTTGTCTGTCTTGCTAGCCCTCTCCTGCTAGCTCTCTCTCGCACACACACATAGATAAAGATAGACGACGCAATTCTCTATTTGTGTATAGAATCTAAGAACTAAAATACTTGCCGTCATGTTATAACAACTAGTTATGGACTAGATATTATATTTCGTAAACACTTTTTTTTATATTGTAAATCACAATAACACCTTTTTTCAAAATTGCTGTTCCTGTATACAGAATATGGTTACCACTTACCATAGGGGGCCATCAGTATGTTTGCCGTTCAAATTATATAAAAAATAGCATGAAAAACAGACAGACTGAATAGTTTTACTATTAAAATTTGGTTTATTAGACGTTTTTATATATACAGGAATTAAATACTCAATTTAATCGAAATTAAACTCTTTTCTTCATAATTTACAGTTGCAAATTCATTTGGCAAGTGGTGAAGTTGCATCGTCTTTTTTAATCTATATTTGTGGTTTTGCGAGCTCCTCAACGCTAGCTGTCACCTGCTAGTTCCGCCGATTTTGTCTATGTGCTTCTTGCTAGCGCTTCCAAACCACCGCGCTTGAAACTTGCGATTTTATTACCCACGTGATTAGTAAAACATTTGTGATCAATAAAATGTATCAAATTCGATTGTTAAATAATTTATTATTAATTCTGTTATATACAGGATGTCTCTTTTCTTATTTATTTTGTAATAAAGTATTTTATCTTGTTTTATAATCGAAAATGTATCATATTTGTGTGATAGTTAATATTCAAAAATGCTCACCTGAAGTTATTTGACAGTTTTATTGATCACAAGTTTAGTTTCCAATTTTTCGTTGTGTTTACACGTGCACGTCAATACGCACTCTTTTGTATAAAGTGATACGAATTGCCCATCAGAATACTTCTCGTCATAATTATCATTATTGCATTGTAAATAATATAGTTTAATTTTCGTTTTAATCGTAAACATCAAATAGCTAAGAACTATATTACACTGTCAGATAGAGGATCATATGTTTTACTTAAAGGCATAAATATCTACTGAGAACGACTCGTAGATAGTAGTATTTTTGTGGATGATAAGGGAATGATGCCCCAGCCTGCGCTAATGCCTGGTTGACGCTGACAGGGCACCATTGCAAGATGTTAACGTGAACATGAACTGACATGACGTCAGTTAGCTCAACATGACAAATTCTCCAAGAATTTGAAGAATTTATAATAGTATATTTGTACGGAGAAAGATATTGTAAACTCATACAATAGTCTAATATTGTTTATTAAATATCATAAACAATATCTGAAATTACAGGATACGAGGCATGACATCTTAGACCTCTGGAATAGCAGTAGTATCACGGGTGTGATAACGTGATATCCGTGCTGCTGTTAATGTATAAAGGCGATGGCTACCGTTTACCATCAGGCGGGTCGATAGCTTGTTTATCATTCTAATTATTAAAAAAAAAAACACGTAAACTCTGAAGGTACATTAATGCTTTAATAAAATGACCTAAATATGATACTCAGTATTTGATAGTGTAATATATTCGTATTATTAAAACGGTTATCTAGTTTCGTTTCACTGTTTTCAAATAAATCAAACATGTTACAGTTTTTACGTATTTTAAGTAATAGGTTATTCAATAGATTTTTTAGTTTTGCTTTTGTCTACTTAATTGATTAGATAATCGATTCTGTAATTGCAAGTTGACGTCTAAATTACGCACGATACAAATATTTGTATTTATGAGTTTGATTGTTTGTATCGGTCTTTGTATTATACATACATAAGAGATTTACAATAATGCATCTAAGTATTTATAACAGATGTCTTAATGCCCATAACACAAGCTCTACTTAATGCGGGACTAGATGACGCTGTCTGAATTGTCCAGGGTCCATGCTGATCGTGACAACTGCCTGTATATGTCAGTTGTCACCAACGACTGTTTATCATGTGCATTGCTTGTTTACCATTCCTTTAGAGAAATAACAGTCAATAAGTAGTGGGAAATTTCTAAGCCTCGTACAATAGTCCTCAATGAATGGTTATTTTCTTTTATTATATTTTACAGCTATCTATCTGTTTTTAGTCTATGACATGTTAGCAAAGTTTGCGTTCAAAAATTTCTTGACATATTCGTGTTTTGTACCCATTTTCCTTATAGGAAATTGTTCCCCCTTTACATTTCTGTACAACTATATAAAGAAAAACCAGTTCTCTTATTACATTTTTGAGGTTTCATATGCTAATTATAGATTTGTTTCCGTAATTATGAATTAATTATACTATATATAAAATTTTCATAATATTTTATAAATGCTAATTAAAATTAATTAAAACGCATATTCATGTGATGGCGATATCGTTTTAGAACTAATTAATGTCGACATAATTATAATTCTGAATGTCACAGCGTATTTAAACAAACACTTAATTTTTTTTATAAACATGACTTTAAATCTTTAATTTTTAATAGATATAAACAGAATCTGCTTATATCAAACTAAATAGCTTGCTTGTTTTAATTAAATGACTTATTTTCCCGCTTACAGCTACTTTTTCACTTATATTCGTTTTATTATATGTATGTTCTAATGACTTGCTTTTTTTGTTTCCATGTCGATTTGTAAGGATCATCACTAATGTTTGTACAGGTCCATACATTAATAAGTGCCAATAAATCGTTAATAAAATATAAACTGTAACGCTTGAGTAACAAAGATGAATGTCGAGATTATTTGTTATATCTGTTACGACAGGATAGTTAGGTATACGTAAATTAGAATTATTATATATTTCCATTTTGTACCTAAATTGCCATCGAAGTTTTTTCGGTTTATGGTAGATCATAGACAATAATTTTATGTAGGTCCATCTTTTTTAATAGTCAATAATTTTTGGCTCTAAAATATTAACAATCATATAATTGTTGTAATAATTATCCAAATGGGAGTATATTTTGTAAACATTGATGTCATATTTTCAATCGTTTTTAAATCTAACGTAGCCATCTGCTGTTTGTTAATAAGGTGCATTCAAAACACAAGAGTACTAGTTCGAAACCTGTCCTGAAACATTAAAATTAAAACCACATGTTTCAACAAGAAATCATCTACATATTTTTGGTCATCTGCGGTCTACCATTTTATTGGCTGTTTGTCCGTCTATTTATTGTGTGTTATAATGTTTGTGCTTGTTTCATGTGCATGCTTTTTTTATTGTGAAATAATGCTGTTAATTACCATTTCTATTTATACGTAATATATATAAATAATGATAATTTTAAAAGGTATGTAAAAACTATTCCTATTGATTTTGAGTATATATAGTATAGTTTGTATATCTATAATTTTAAATAATAGTCAGCTAAATCAAAATACGTTTTAGTATTGTTTTATTAAGATTCAATTTGACGTATTTAAGTTTTGACTCATATATTATATATAACTAGCAGTGCCCGCGTTTTCACCTTCGTTAAATTTCAGTATATAATTTTCAATAAAAAATATAGCCTATATATTATTAAATTTAAGATTACTAATTGCACTAAAATAATATAAATAACAGCATTGTTTCAAATCATAAACTAAGATTATAAAGAACCCATAAAATAGTTTCGCATTCAACAGATCACCTATTTAACCAACTAAACTAAAATGTCCAAATGTTTTAACAAGGTTGTGATTGTAATGCGCCACTATATATTTTTTTCATTAATTTACTGTCGTGTGGTATATGTTGGAGCACGGATCTGTTCGTTGAATCAATTCACTCTATTATTACATTATTATCTGTACCTCGAAATCTAACCTAATACATATCGTGATGTCAGACAGTCTACCATATCTTTGCTAGTGAGGGAATGTTCACTCTCAAACATTGCATTCTTAGGTTACAGTTTCAGGCTTTCTCATTCTCTGCCAACAGTTTTCCGAAATATTTGAACAACATAGTGTTCAAATAGTTCGGGTACAAATGGGGGGATGTAACATTTCTTGCCGTCATTTGTACAAGTTGATAGGCATGACATTTTACCCCTCAGGTATGCCAAGGCATGGGTATCACGGGTGTCACATGATAACGTGATGTCCGTAGTGCTGTTCTTGTATATAAGTCACAGTTATCTCTTACCAATCAGGTAGTTCGTCAGCTGTTATCCCATTCGAATGACTTACGTAATAATTCAGTTACGTATATATAACCGCAAATACGAAAACGAAATTTCAACATTTCCAATATCAAATGGTATTTGAAGTGTGGTTAGCATTAAAGACAGTATAAAATAGAATTTATAAGTAAAATCTCAAACATTTCTAATATAAAATGGGCTGTATTTTAATAATATTGACATTTATAGTAAGTTATGGTCGTTTTATACGTTTTCATCATTATCAAATTGTTAGAATCACAAAATATTAATATTTAATGATAAAATAGAATGTTATAATTTGTTACATCATTATTGCATATTGATGTTGATTTAATTTAGTAATATATAGAAATCTAAAATGTCTTATGGGTAACGGAAGACATAAACTTGTTATCATTCTTAATAATTCCTTATGGAAATACATATACAACATAAATGCCCATCCATTCATTGACTGTGCGGATTTTATAAAGAAAATATTCCTATCTGAAAATGTAAACACACTGAGATTTTTTATAAATTTTTGCAAAGAATGAGTCATAACAGTTTTACTCCTAGAGGAATTCTTTTACTACACACTTGCATTTAGCAACTATTCGCGATTACATTGCTTGAAATTCAGTAAAAAGCATTCAATGTGTTAATCTTTTATTTGTTTCATCATATAATTTTTATCTGTTAGCAGTTTAACCGCCATAGACTGTGCCAAACTTTTATAGTATTAGTAAGATTTCGAGGTTTTGAATAATAATTTAGGTGTTTGGTTATGTAACGCTGTTGCAAACAGATTGCAATTAAACGATTTACATCTATGAACTATCAGATCGGTCATAGAAAAAACGTTTTGAAATAAAACTGAAAAGTTTTTAAAGTAATAAAATTATTTATACAGCGTTACATAATGAAATCCTAAGACAATCATTTATCGTGGTGTTTGTGTGTGTGAGTGTGAATTGGTTCTAAATGTTTATAATCATCCTGTCCCTCTCTGTGTGGAGTGTGTTATGTGTAAATTTATCCACTAAATTCTCTCATCCATCCATTTTGTATATCTAACTCCCATACATTCGCTGTACATCGAACGCTTAGCACAATATGAACGCATTGCACATGCCACATACAGATTTTTTTTAAAATTTCAATTGCAACGAAGACTCGCATAACGAGCGGACTTTGATTTCTTGGATTTTAAAAATAGAAGAAGTTATGATTAAAAAAAATGAATATATTAACATAATATTACAATATTACTCGATTGCATCCATCAAATAAATTTTAATGAGCAATTTGATTGTACGAAATAATATATATTTTGATCGTTATATACACGATAGAATTATTGTTATATTATTCATGAGATTAAGACCAGGAAATACAAAGTTTTATATCTGTATGTGGCTTGTATGATCGTTTGGTATGCTTATATAGGTTTCTTACATTTTTCAGGTGAATCCACATACTTGTGAGGGTGACACGGGATTGGTGACCACTACACACTTCTATAAATAATCCTGCTTTCCCCTCATATATGGCAAGGCTAGTACCTAACCTGGTGACTCTGAGACTTGTGTAGAAGCCTTAGTGATTATGCAAAACAGTGTTCTGTGTTGTGTATTAATATTAACTTGGAGGGTAGTACCGCGGACGCGGCGTGATATGTGATATAACGAGTGCTGTACAGACTTTGGACGCGGTGGTATCGAGTCGGTACTAAATATGGCTACCTCGGTGTAAAAACATAATCCTTCTCCTTCGGTACTTGATACTTTGTAGAGTATGGTCACAAGGTAAGATTATAATGTTTGACTGAGTACATTGGATGTAGTACATTGGATAAGTGTTACCCGCTACTTTATAATTGTGTTGTAGCTCTACGGGCCGATGTCCCCTTACTGTCAGGGACATGTAACCTCATACGTTGGCCAGGTAACAGCTTTGGTTACGTGGCGTTAAATACATAGACTAAGTAATACACAGTGGCAGACATTTTGAATGTTCGAAATTTGAAAACACGAATTATTGTTGCCACGTTGAATGAAATAGAGTTAATATAACCGGCCAGTGTTTGTCCTTCATTTAACGACATTTATAACTTAATTTTTTTAATTGAAACTATATAAGTATTATGTTCATATTTAAATAGTTTCGTGTTGTCTTCAGTTTATATACATATCTGTTTTGAATTAAATGTTAGCTACATTTGTTTTTATTCCATGTACTCTCACAATTAAAAAAAATAAGGATTCTTTTGTATTGGGGAATTATGAACCGGCAGATTCCAATTTGCGGTGCTTTTGTTATAAATGAATATTTCATTGACCATGTATGTAATGTTTATATTTTTAACTTGCAAGACCTGTGTGAATATTGTATCCTTTCATTTTGGTATTTGGCCAACAACAGTAATCAATACACAATGTGAGACGAAACATGATTTTTATTAAAAAGAAAAGAATACAGTTGTTTACAAAAGTATTCAGGAAAGGGTATAATGAACTTGTTTATAAAAAATATTTAATTTAAGAATTTCTTGTCAATATATTAGTTCGTGGTTACTGACCGCTCGTACATCATGACTTTACAGGATCGCCATAAACCTGGCCACATTTTAAAAAGAAATCTCGTTCTAAATTTAAATCATTTGTTGTCTATTACTTATTTTTTCTTATGATCGTAAGATACACCATTGTTTATTTAATTGGGCGATTTTAAATACGTCTAAGGCGTTATGTCCAAGCGGTCATATCCACCTAATATGTATGATCTTCTAATTGTCATACTGATAATTTCTATTAGGTAATTCTATATTATTTCTTTTTTTATAATTGCTAATTGTTAAAGAATTATTTGCCGTACGGCGAGGCAGTACTTCCCACCCTTATTGACTAAGTCCTAAGACGGACAGTTTTATTTTGTATAGTTCAGAAAGATCTCAGCGGCAGTCCTCATAATTAGTTTGTTTATACTTTATTTAAGCTGCGGTCAGTGGCCGCTATGCAGTTTCCTAGTTGTGACAATATCTGTAATTTATATTATAAATTTCTTTTTAATAATGAATAAAAAAGTGTTAATCTACGATATATTTTGACATTGAAATATAGTTCAGTTGTTTCAGTGTCCACACCCTTATCCGTATGTGCTAAAAGTTTATCATTTATAGTATATTAAACTGTATTACGCATAGTCTAAAGACAATTGTATTGGTTACTATAAGAAATAATATCTCAGCCTATCTTTGGGAGAGCGAATAGTTAATATTGTTCTGCTTCCATACCGTAACTGTATAGTTTCCTTTCTTTTAGAATTGTATATAAAATTATTAGTACATATTTTTTTAAAGTAAAATCTATCTTTACGTTAAACTTCATTAATATGAATTCAGCTATTTAGTCATGATAAGGTAACGAACAGAGAGACAGTGTAGCAATTATTACTAATAAAGTGCATGGATTGCCTCAATTCCCGTAAACAAGGGATATATTTATATAAGAAGGGATTATGTCAAATATTTCGAGACGTACTTCTTACCGTACGGGTGCAGGTTCCATCGTGTGGTAAAGAAGGAAACTCCGAGCGATTCCCGGGACTTGTGACCCGGGTGTAGGTTTAAGGGGACCCTTTGCCGACGTACCTCAACATTCACCTTCATTGCTCGTGTTTCTCTCGTGCTTGCCCAACTAAATCTGGTAGGAGGGAGCTTTAGATACACGTTCTAGTATACTCACTGCAGCGGATATTTGACATAATTCTGTAATATCATTACTAGCTGTGCTCGGGAATTCACCCGCGTGAAATTTATAGCCTATATGTAATTCTGCTGTATAAGCTATATTAATGTAAAGATCATCAGAATCCGTACCGTAGTTTTTGCGTGATAGAATAACAAACATCCATACTCACAGAGTTTTATTTATAATATTAATAAGACTAAGATTTGTCGATTGTTATCCAATAACATGATATTGTCATAGGAAAGAAATTGCATTGTGGTCACATCGCTAAAATGAGTTACAATAAAATTTGATCCGTTGCATAGTTTCCAGCTGTAACTGAAAGGGAATTTAAAAATATTTAGTTTAATGTACAAAGGAATTCAAAGGAAATCATTGACTATATGTCACCGCCTATAAGTATATTTTACAATGTAAATGTTATTAACTTGATAAAAAGATGCCCACTAATTTTACAAATAGTTTTTTTTTTTACTAAATCAATACTTGTCATGATAAACGCAGCGGTGGCGCCCTCATTTTTTATTATTTGTTGACTGAGAATACGATGAGGTACACCTTTGGTTGTACGAATGTTATAATTTATTTTTACAATTCGATAATGAAGTTTATTTTAAACTAGCTTTGCCCGCGGATTCGCTCGCGTTAATTTATCTCCTTGGGGGTAGAATTAATCAAAATCCTTTCTTAGCGGATGCCTATGTCATAATATCTACCTGCATGCCAAATTTCAGTCCGATCCGTCCAGTGGTTTAGACTGTGCGTTGATAGATCTCTATGTCAGTCACCTTTGAGTTATATATATTTAGATAGTTGAATGATAGTAGTATATTTTAACGCCCAATAAACTCAATAGTTTGTTATATTTATAATTTACTAGAGCTAAAAGAATTATTTGATTAATTTTCATTTGAAAGATTTACTCCCCACATTAAATACATGTATATATTAAAGTTGTTTTTGATTTTTGTGAATTTTTAAACTGTTAGCTACGATCTACAAAAAAGTCAGATTTTTTTTATATAAAACAGGCTATGTGCATCTTCGTTATATAATCTATATTGATGTTAAATTTCATGAAGATCTGTTTAGCAGTTTATTCGTCAAAATGTGACAAACAGACTGACAGATTTCCGCATTACTAACATTAATATGATGTTTATAAATTTAAAAATATTTGAGGGCGCCACTATTATGTTTAAGTCAAAAGAGTATCCTATTCACTAAAAATGGTATATAATAATAGAGTAACAGAAAGTGTTTATTACCCAATGATGGTTTAAAAATATTAGGAGGGATCTACATAAATTTATGGTGCCAAGTCAGTCGCAGTAAGGGTTCGAGTTACTGTTCTATTGAATTAAAGCGGGTGGATTTAAATGCAGTTGTAAACTTAATTGATTTATTTTATATTCAGGCCTGAGCTTGGGAACAATTGACTCGTATGATTTAGGTCCTCCACCGTGTTATTTTACCGAAACTTGTTTCACACACACATTGTGGTTTCATCTTCCCGCAATGGTATTTCCGTATCGATACGATATTGAGAACATACTCTTCTGTACTTCCCTGGTGTTGCGGGTGCTCACATCAGGTGTACCTCAAGCTCGTTTGTTCCCTATAAAAAATCTTAATAGCACATGTAATATGGATTATGAACCTTTATTACTCACTTTGTTTATTCGTAGATTAGTTGCAAGTCATTGGTTTCAATTATTAATTTTGTTTATATCAAATAGTTAAATAATAGTTTACTTATTTATTTGCATAGGAAGATTACATATACATAGTTATTTCACTTTCTCAAAGTAGCAAAGTGAATAAAATTTGTAAATTTATTACAGAATTGTTTCTTTAATACACTTTATGAAATCTTATGTTTCATAAATTAAAATGAAAGTAATTTATTTTTAGCCACTCATACATAAATAGTTTTTTATCATTATCTCCACCTTCCAGTTCGATTAGTTACTGCAGTGGAGAAGAACTAGCAAGTAACTCAACTGCCACACGTCATGAGAATCTTTCTGTGTTGAGTGAGAAAGGATACAATTAGTTTTTTTTTATTGGAATGCATAATGAATGAAGTTAATTTTGTTACACGTTGTGTGTATGGAGTTACCCAAAAGTAAACATGTCAATTGTTCCCAAAATGAAAGTCATCTTCACACAAAAATGGCGTCTTTCACCTCTATTTTTATGTTTAATTGTAAATATTATCGCTCGTTACGTTAGTGTTAGCGCAGATCTGTACTAGTTTAAGTAGACCGTCACATGGTGATCGGGCACGTTGACTGACCTGTGTGAACGTATTGTGGGAAACGGATAGTTCCTAACTGTACATGTTAAAATATACATTTTACTTGGTTGAAATCATTTGTAATGTAACTACTTGGTTGTACATCAAAAAATCATTCTTCATATGGGACATTTTAGCCGCTTATGAAAGTCAATTTTTTTGTATTAATATATTTTTTCCTATATAGGCTGTGTGGGTTACGCCACTACCTTTCCCGTAAAGAAATTATTATTGAATTAATGGAAAGTGTAAAGTTACAATTTCATCTAAAATATTTAATGAAACTAATTTTTTTGAATTGCCACAAATTTCGTTGCCATCGTTCTATGGGAAATTGTTCAATGGAACAATTTCTTTACAAGTACAGCACATTTAATTATTCTAATTACAAATGTTGCCATAAACACAGAAAAAATATATGGTTAGCACTTTTACAATATTTATGTAGATTTGACTTCTTGTTATTTTTTAATGTTAATCGAACAATATAATCGATGTCATTTAATGCAATAGATATTTTTAGAAAAAGAAAAATTACTACAGTGTTTTTCCAGATATTAATAATTATAATCATGAAATTAAAATCAACAAATCAACATAACACACGGAAGGTCAAGGTGTCATTTTCACAATATTGACTGTATATGGCAGGCCCATAGCGCGGTTTCCGTTTTTATTTCTATGACGTTTCAGGAGTGATGTGTATTTGATGGTTTTGGGTGATACTGGTCTGAACAAGTTGTAAGTACATGAGGTCGGTTCTGAAATTAGAATGTGGCCATGATTTTTGTTGGTCAGTGCAGTATTGTTTCTATATACTAAAGGAATGGCCTAAAGATATTTCTAAAGTTAACACATATTTTAGAGAAGGATATTTCAGAATCCACCTCGTACAAAGTTGGGTCGTGGTGCCGAAACAGCGGGGCGGATATGTTTCAGTCTTTCCATGAATATGTTTAGACTGTCGTAAGTGTACGTTTTGTACGAAACTGGCAAATAAAGCACGTTAATTATTCTACAATAGTATTTATTTAAAATACTGGCAACCTTAGATTTTACACATGTTTCAATTTATGAAAAAATTAAGCATGAAATTCAAAATTACTAATCATGTGGTTTCATTCAAAAAGTAAGCAACGAGATTGGTGATCGATTTCCTATTATATTCACGCCAATAGATATAATCTATACAATAATTATTGTTCAAATTTTAAATTAATTTAAAATGTCTGATTCAATTTATAAACTACTTTAAAATAAAACGTGCTTTGTGTAAGATTATGTTCTTTGTTAGAATTGTTTTACCACTATTATTTTTAAATCAAATTGTAGCGTCAGCGGCCCTGCTGTTTCGCATTATCGACCTTATTGCTTCATCATTAATATTGAATATTTATAAACGCTAAGATTGCATTTAATTGAAATGGAACTGTGCGCCAGTAATTTAGTTGTTAATCGATTTTTAATTGTATTGTATGACGCGAGTAGGTAGATATTTATTTGTCTAATAAATTGCGGAGGGCCCCGGAGTTTCGTGTTCAGAATACGAAAGGGATGTTACTACAATGCCAATAATATTATGACTTTTATACCTAAAGTATTATGATTAATAAATTGGCGTCCGTTTGTGATGTGGTTGGTAGGCGGCGTGGCGATGCGTTGCGTTGCGATGCGATGCGACGCGATGTGGTGCGGTGCGAGGAGTTCAAAACGTGATCGATTTTTTAAATTAACTGTTTACCTGGTATTTTGGTCAAATTCAATAGGTTTATACATTAAGGAATGGTTAATGTAGGATAGAATAGTTCGTTACTGTAAGGTAGGTTAAGAGCGTCATAGAAATCATCTGAACGTGAACTTGAGCTGCAATGTTTAATGAAAATTATAAAACTGTGTTAGTTTCGATTCGTTTAGGCTTTATGGATTTAGTTTTTTTTTTATAAGACTAAGGAGTCACAGTCAGGGTACGCGCAGACTATAGTCGTAATGCCTAGTATTTAATGAAGATATGGCGGAACCGATGATATCAGTGCTTGCACTGAAACTTAATATCTTATTTTTTTTAATTATGAGTTTGGATTAATTGTCCCTATAAGACAGATCTGTTAATTTTACGTAATAATGTTTTGCGACAGTTAAGACACTTATTAAAAGAA